GAGGGAATACGATAGCAACGAAGTTTCTTTAAGAGCAATTGTTTGGACTCTGGTACCAACGAACTGTTCGTATCACATGGACGCCGGAAACGAAGCATCGATGAAGATAATCGGACAGCAGGAACACTTTCTGCAATAATACGAGTTCTTACAAGAGACGAAGAAGAAGAGGCGTTGCAAAACACGACATTCTCACACAGGTTAGATGAGAACTTCATGTCAAACATGCACACGAAGTTAGCAGCACATTGTAAAATTTGATTTGTTAAGAAAACGGAGCACTGAATCACAAGTGTGAATTTGTTGCTGAGAAAGGCATACTGTTTTGAGCGACGAAAAATTCCGAGCTTCACAACAAAAAGCTTAGATATTAAGGAATTCACGAATTTGTCAGTCTTTTGGTATGCCAGCTTTTTTCATTTGATCGACTCTCTGATTTTTCTCGGAACGTGCAGAGATGAGGCAATTCAAATTGCAGCGCGTTTCTGGATGAGTTGGATCTGGTCTGCATGTCGGAAGTATGGTTCATCTCAGCAGTTGTTTCGGTATCCATTGTGTGCCTGGTCTTATCAGCATTCATTGTTGCATGGGGTTGTAGTTCGCTAAAGAAGGAAAAGCTGCCATTATAAATATGAAGACGTTTTGCGCGCAATGCTTATAAGCTTCATTTGTGAGAGAGGATGCAAGTTTTTAATTGTGTTTTTTTAACAACTTTGTACGATAGCTTCAAAACCTGCATGTTTATCGATTCAGACTGTGTCGATGCAATTTTGAGCAGAGACTTTGTCCTAGATAATTCGGTTGAGCAGTCTGCATAATTTTTTCAAAACCTTTCGATGTGACAATCTGTTGCATCTTTTATGACATAAGGTAGAATTTTTGCTCGAAGCGCATCACTAGAAAAATCATCCGTGTGACAGCCCCCTTCGTTAGCAAACTGGTGGTGGTGAGCCCTCTCAGAGCTAAAATTCTGTCCCTCAGAACAACACCAGGACGAGGTGCTAAAGCCGGATTTTCTAGTGAGCAGTTGCTGGGCAGAACTGTTGTCGCCGTTTTGCCGAGGGGTCCCGAAGTAGGTCCCGATGTCAAAAACGTCAAAGTAACCAGTAGTGTAATAGTATTTTGGAAGAAACCGTAGAAGATTTGCTCTTTCTAGTGAGAGCTTCGAGCAACTGGTAACAAGCATCTTAAGACATTACATCAGCCCACCAACACTACACTTATGGAATACTGAAGATTCAGAATTTATGAATTTCAACATATGATTTGTTGCACCACTACGTGGATGATAATATATTGTTTATTAGTCTTAAATTTTTAGCAATTTTTCCAGGCAGGAAAAATTTGTTAATATTCTGTTTTTGATACTGTTTTTTTTTCACATTCAATTACTCTATCATTTTCTCGCCATAAATTCCATGTTAGCAGAAAAGTATGTCTAAGTCGATGCTCTGTCATCCTTATGCGATGCTTTCCTCTTGTCTAGCCACTCAGCTTTGCCCGTACTGCAACGCTGTTTAAAAGAAGCAGTTACTTTTCAGAAACAGCTTTTTCCCCATACCTGCATATGTCAGTGATTTTATTGTTCATCGATTTTTGTCGTTTTTCATACTTTACCAACAATACAGGCGAGATATGCAGCTCTACAGACATTTTAACGTTTTCGCTGGATAATTTTTCGCGGTTTGCACGGCCCATTTTCTTCCCGTCACTTCTATTTTTAGTATTTCTTCCAAATTGTTATCCCTTATGAACTTAATCTAGTAAGTTATTTATTGTTGGAGCCTATTTGTTACAACAGCATGTAAAGAAAAATTTCAAAAGCAGCATAACTAAACGCCTAAATTCAGGCCCAAAAA